TCAGAGATGTAATTTCAAAATATCCTATTCATAACAACAAATGACTAAAATTCCTAGTACTAAATTGAACCAGAAATGTGAAAGACCCATATGAAGACAACCTTACAAAAGCACATACACACACCATTTCTGGATAGGAAAATTCAAAACTGTTAAGATAGCATTTTTCTCCACATCAAACTATGAGATTGAAAACCCTGCCAATAAAAATCTCAACAGGATTTTTAAATGGAAATCGACAAGTTCCTTCTAGAGTTCTTATGTAAGAAAAAATATGAAATTTTCAAGGAACAGTGGGGCAGGGTGAGAGAGCTATGAGATTACCAGTCATGCCATAAAATATGGTATGTACACATACATCAACGGAGCAGATGAGAAACTGCAAAAAGAGACCCATATGTATGCAGGAATTTAGTTTATTTTAAAGTTTAAATCTGTAAAGCATGACCCATTCAATAGATGATATAGAGACAAATGACTACCCCTTTAGAAAAAAAAAGTTGCCTCCCATAAAAAATAAATTTCAGACAAGTTATACACACACATACATATCCTTAACTCATCTGAAGTTTACTTTTTGTAATATACACACATACGCACAAATATATAGACATGTATATTTTTAAAGCTATACTAAGCTAATATAAAGGAAAGTGAACAAGGAGCAAAAAATGAAGTGGTAGCTGGAGAGGATGTGCGATGAGCGACAGGTCTTTCAGACTGTGTTTTAGATGGGGGATTCCATAGCACCTTTGACACTAACATACCTACAGAGGATGGCAAAAAACAAAACTCACATAAACTCCTTACTCAAGAGGACAGACAAGCTCCAAAGCACAAGAGAAAAGGTTTAAGTCCCACTGGATTACATGGGGAAGTTAAAGACAAGACAATCTATAAGCACATTTGTAGGGCTGGTAACGAGGAGGTGAGAGTTCCCTCCAATGGCTATCATTTCTTAATGAAGTATGTGGTGAACACCTAACAGGGGAAGGGGGAAATTGATAGACAACATACAAGTTTTGAAATAGGACATCCCAGCGATCTGCTAGGCAGTGCTGTGTGTCCACCTGAGGTTTGTAAATATGAATTTAAGGTGAGTTAGGTTGGCTGTTTTCTCTAGTAGTTACTTGAGCACAGGCACAGAAGTGAATGCCTGGGTTGCCCAGGGTTAGGTCTTACTAGATAAATACAGGTGAGGGAAACAAGGTTGAGTGGAGGGTGTGGACGGAATCGATGTTGCACAAGGAGGGAAGTGAAGCTAGGACAATAATGGGAAGAATGTGTGGGGGGAGGGGCTGTGGATGAAGATACAGAGGAGGTAGTTGAGCAAATAAGCAACAAAGCCAGGAGGTGGTGATTGTACAGATATTTGAATTCAAGGGGGGCTGCAATTCCTATCAATGGCAGGGGTGCAGGGAGTGACCGAGGTAGGCAGCAGGCCTGGAATGGAAGACAAGGAACTAGGGGGTCACAGTGTTGAACAGAACCACCCATGGGATGGAGAAAATGGCAGCAGAAGCAGGGGTGGAAGACTCTAAGCCAGGAGATAAGCTGTTCAATGTCTGAACAGTGGTTAGAAGATCAATGCCAACAATGAAGGCGTATATAACCAGAAATAAAAGCTTCAAAAGATGACGTGGTTTGCAGGAGAGCTGAGGAGTAATGGTCTGATTAGCCACAAAGAGGCCACCAAGCAGAAGATGTACACAGCAGTATGGAGGTGGGCACTCCTGCAGTCACGGTGACTAGAAAGCCAGAAAAAGCAGCTTACGAGGCACGATGAAATTCGTCCTGAGTGTCTCTTAGAGGCAGGGGGCACTAGGTCCTAGAGCTGTGTTCCTGAATGCCTGAGTCAGTATTAATTGCAAGCTGGCAATACAGAGGGATTGCTCCCAGTTATTATTAAATACATGCAAAAAGGCACAGCACATGGCCTGGTGCTTACTGAGTGCCCAATGAGAGAGAGAATCTAGGAAAGGTTCCAGCCATTCCCATTTCCTGCTCGTTTAGGACTTGCACCTGAGGGCCCCACCAAGAAGCAGTTTTTAACTTCACCACAAGACCCTCCTCCCTCCAGAGAGCCACTCAGACACCAGCACAAGTCATCACCCACCAGGGGTTTAATTCTCCTTGAGAAGAAGGTCAGTTCAGAGAGGGGCCCTGGCTTGTCCCCCATCCTGGGGGGAAGATCTGCAGAGCACCCTGAGAATGTCCAAGCTCAGAGGAGCCAAGAACTAGTCTCTGAGCAAGAGAAGTGGGTCCAGGGACTCAGGCTGCCTCCTCCTCTTCGCTCTCCTCCTCGCTCTCGTGATACTGTCTGCGGTTGGTGTTAACAAAGAGGTCAGAATCATCTTCAGAGCTGGACTCTTCTCCTGATGACTGTGGCTCCGCTGGGAGTTCTGGCTGAGTCTGTCTGCGTGGGGGAAAAGGGACAGGGTTAATTCAATGCCCTCTGGAAAACTAGATCTGCAATCAAGGAGCCCCACAAAGGAGGACCACATGGCCAAGAAAAACTATCTAAAGACTACCTCACACCCCACCTCAAAAGTTTGTTAAAACCACTGGTTTTAATAATAAGGATTCTACAACCACCAACTAACACTAAGTGGACTCACACCACATACCAAGTATTACACTAAACAATTTTACAAACATTAACTCCTTTAATCCTCACAAAGCTCCCACTTTATAGATGAGGAAATCCAGGCTTAAGAGATCAAGTAACCTGCTTAAAATCATGCATTTACAAGTGACAATGCCATGATCTTAACCCAGGACATCTGACCTTCAAGCCGTACTCATAACCACGTATTTAGGAGCGCCCACCAGGGACACTACATAGGAAGAAAGAATGTTTCTATTTCCCCCTCAAGGCACCAAGGCCTGAACCCGTATTTTTTTGTCGTAAGGCTTCTCACCTATTCCTGTTGTTGTTGTGTTTCTCGGCCACTTCTGAGAAGGCCTCAGGCCTGTGCCAAGAGAAGAGCCAGGGTCAGAAAGGACGGAAAACTCGATCAGCAAAAAAGCTGTTTTGAGCTATCCCTGCCTGGGATGCCATGATCTTCCCTCCTCCAGTTTCACAGCTAGGAAGTCAGTCTCCCCAGAAATGAGGCAGCCAATGACCAAGGGGACTACCCTACCAGAGCCCTTCCTTCTGCAGAGAGCGCACATGGTCTTTGCAGAGCACAAAGGAGATCTCGGCCTTCACTTTTTCTCCCTCTTCAATGGGGTCAACAATGAGGAAGTCCCCTGCAGGTAAGAGAGAACAAAAAACACAGTAGATCCTGCTTGTAGTGGGGAAAGCCAAGCTCACAGGAAATAGCTATCTCCTAGAGGGCTGCCTCTCTCACCTCTCTTGATCCAGATGTTCTTACGGTATTTGGAGGGCATGCTCACCAAGAAGCGCTGCCCTTGGGCTGTCTCCACTTCATGCAGATTGTTCCCTGGGGTCCTGAGTACCTGGTCCAAGAGAGACCAAGAACTAGTCAGCCTCATCAGTCAGCTCAAATATCCAGTAAGCTGTGCTGCACCCTCCCCCCATCCTAGGGGCCCAAGGGGAGTAGAAGAATGGGGAGGCAGAGCAGCTTGTGCCCAATGCCACTCACCCTCACGATTTGCTGCTGGTCAGAGGGCACCATGTGCTCCCCCAGCACCTCCTTCACCACATGCTTCCTCTTGGTGGCCTGAGACATGCTGGGTCCTGTCCCAGGGGGGTGAGGGATGCAGAGACTGTCAGCTCCTCCCCCTGAGTTTCTTGGATGGCCAGTTCAGAACCTGGGACTGTTCTGAAGATGGAGAGAGACCTTTTACTGAGGAGTGACTGTTTCCTGGTTAAGAACGTGAACTCCAAAACCTAATTACTAGGATTCAAATCCTACCTTGGCTATTTACTAGCTGTTCTTCTCTAGCTTCAGAGACAAATAGCAGCTAACTCCTATCACTGTTAGTAGAATAAAATAATGCAAACTAAGCACCGTGTACAGTGTATATACATAAAGTACAGTGTATGGCACATAAAAACAACTCATGTTAGGGGCGCCTGGGTGGCTCAGTCGGTTAAGCCTCCAACTTTGGCTCAGGTCATGATTCCAGAGTGCGCTCCCTGCTCAGTGGGGAGTCTGCTTCTCCTTCTCCCTCTGCCTCTCCACTTGCTTGTGCTCTCTAATAAATAAAATCTTAAAAAAAAAAACCCTCATGTTATTCGTACTGGCATAATCACAGAAACTAAATACATGTTCTACAGAAGTCATGCTGGCAATCTCTGGGGAAGGAATGCCTGATAAACTGTATCTTCCTCAACACGTTTGGACATTCTACGTGTAGCACAGCCACACTCCACAGATGCTCAGTTGTTTGTTTTTAAACACACTACAGTCAGAAGCCAGTTAGGAGACGCAGAGCGATGGTCCAAGCCAGGAACGAGTTAATAAAACATCGGGTAAGCCGGCTTGGTCGGCTGTATCGGCTAGATTTCTGACGTGGGTACTGAGAAGACAAGGACTGGTACCACCGAGGCTGATGGTTTCCAAAAGCAAACTCCGAAGTGTCACCTCTAGCTGCCGTCCCCTGCCCTCCTGCCTCCCTATGCTAGAGCAAAGAAAGACGCTCAGAGACCCACACTTACTCTCTGGCCCTCGTCTCCCACGGGCGCTGCCCGAACGACCTCGTTCTCCAGGTTGGACGCTGAGAGCGGCTCGCCCACGACTCACTCCGCAGCTGAGTCAACGAGGGCACAGAAAAGGGGCCTGCCGGCGGTCAGGACGCTGGCGTGGACATAGACTCAAGTCCCCTGCGCCTCCGACTCCTACCCGACTCCTCCAGGCCCGTGGCAACGAGGACGACGCGAGCCCTACCGAGTCGGACCCTTCCGAGCACCGTACTTCCGGCGCTAACTCGGAAGCCTATCGGCCACCTTCCCCTGCTTTGTCCGTCCCTCTAACTCTTCCCCTCGCCGGGTCGGCCAAGGCTAAGTTTTTGAGTTCCCGATGCCGCGTAGCGGGGAATGGAGTTTTCTCGAAGGCCTCAGCTCCCTGAGACCGGACATGCTGCCCGAGAAGCGAGACCATAGAAGGCAGCCGGGCTTCCCGCGAGGCAACCCGAAAGCGGTGCCTACTAAGGACTCTGTTGAGGTCGAGAGGGCCTCATCTCTATGGCTCTATGCGGCTAGAAGTGCCCAATTCGGAATTTTTTAAAAGGAGGCTCTTGAGGCGACCCGGAAGCGGAAGTGGAAGAAAGTTCTAGTGGGTTGAGGTATCGGTGGGAGCAGCCGGGTGGCGGGAGGAGCCGTTACAGGAGCCGGAGCTGCCGGTGAGCGCTCGCCGCGGAGCAGGGCCGGAGCTGGAGGCGGGCGGGGGTGCGGGGAGGAGGGCAAGAAAGGGGCCTTGGCGCCGTAGCGGGCCAGAGGATGCGCCCTCAG